ATAATATAGTAACGCTTTAGTCGCATTGTGTCCGGAAGGTGATAAAACAATACATTTTCGGTTGTTCGTCACTCATACGGTGATATTTGAAAGCGTTGCGTTACTCAGTAAAGTAACGCATCAATAAAGAAAATGTGCCACCCCTAACGAGTACTACAAATGAAAGAAAAACAAAAAAATTCCACTTAACACTTTTTGTGCTGGGAGACTTGAAAGTTGGCTATTTTGAAAAAAGGGCCTTCAAAGTTGGGCGTCGTACTTAAACACGGAGATGGATATCGACATTATCCTTTTTCAACAGGTTTTTTGAGTATCATCACTTATACATTATAATTGCTTCTTCGTATGATATACAAAACATCGATGTTAACTTGATTGATGTAAAGAAAAACAAGGCCAAAGCTTGACATCCGTAAACGGGCATGTAGAATATGACTTTTTTAATGAAAAAATGTGGGATTCTATGTGACTTTCTATGCTCTACACGACAAAATTGTTGGATTTTTCGCGGCTGTTATGTCAGTATCAAGTGGGCGGACCTGAATGATCATATCCTACTATAAAGCTAAAAACTGTTCTGGACACCCTCTGAAGATTCGAAGGGAGGCTGCAAGTATTTATCATCGATTCGCCATGATAGACTATCTATATTCTATAAGTTTTATTATCCGTAGATGACTTTATTTGTGTTATGAAAATGCACCGAATTGTGGCGACATCTATCCTGCACTTATAGAAACATTTGCTTAGTTTCTTTTCCTTTTCCATCAATAATTACTTTATCAGTCATGTCTTTGAATGTATGTCTCTCTTGTAAAAGAGAATTGTCTACTATTCTCTCTTCTGATTCGCTTATCCATAGAATATCTGATAGCCATTTTTCTGTATTTTGCGCACAGACACACGGACAACCATTTTGTAAGATCCTAGACTAATAAAGTCAAGGGAACTTTTTGGATTGATTGTAGTGATTCGCTCCCAGCGTTTATTCCTAGTTTATCGCAACCATTAGTTTCTCGGTTTTTGTCAAATTTTAACTGCTGTTATTTTTGGCAGAAGTTGTTGGAACCTAACTTCTGACAACGTGAAATTGGACGTTGACCTCATACTTGGGGAAGGTTCGTCATCTGAGCTGATACCATCTCTTTTTACATTAAGCTTGAAGAAAATGAATCAGTGTCCATATGTTGTCTTGATTTCATCCACGTATTCAATACCTATCTTCAAGCACAAATAAGTGCTTATCTCGATCAAAATCTGATCGGCATCATTTATTTTTGAAAAGAAGTTTTTAAAAAACAACAACATCGTGTACTTATGTATCTTCTTTCCAGTACAACGTTTTTATCCTACAACAAAATATGAAAATTTTACATTAAATTGGTTAAATTCAGTGTACTGATAAAATCTTATCTTATATATATGAAATGTTATCTAGTCTTATACCACCTTACTCATCGTTTGTTTTATTATATTCCTTTGTAAAAAGAACGGTGATCCAGTACTTTACTGTGTGTATATTCGCAAATATGTATATGCTCTTGAATGTTTTCGTTCTGTACATCTTTTTACTAGCATTAAAAATTCAATCACCTTTTGTGTATCCATAAAATTTGTTACAAATTATATTTTTGTCTCCATCTTGATGAAACTTGAACATATTTGTACATAGATTATTTTAGAGAAATTTACAGAAAAACATAGTGAGAACGTAACTTGTTTATGACAGCCGAGTAATGCATCTGTGTAAACGTAACTGACTTTTAGTAGATATTAGATCTGTCTTATCTCTGACTTCAAGACTAAGGATTTTCCCCTGTCAGAAATCCATTTCGATAATTACAAGTCGAATCTGGATCAAATTTTCAGGAAATGTTGACAATATTAAAAGATGGTGACGAAGTTTTTTAGCTGTATCTGTCTCCGATGGCTATATATCGCCACAACAGTGATCAAAATAATGCAGTTAAGGTTTCTCCAAATTCTCACTGAGCTTGGGTGCCGCAGAATTTGGAATGGTGCTGTCTGCGGGAAAATGCTATCACCTTGGCAGTACAGAGGTGAATTTTTCTCAAATTTTATGTTATTGACTGACGCGACACATTTTTCGAGAAAAATCCTGAAAATCTCCGTCAGGTTTTTCAGAGATCCTTGACTTTCCGGAACGAAACTCAAAAAGTCGACTCTGTCCTTCTCTAAGCGTTAGCATTTCTCTACAAAACAAAACCAGGAATGAAATCTTCGCTTTACAAGTTAGCGCCACTGAAATCCTTTGTCAGTAAAAACGTACGTATAAATGTGATCGACGAACAGATATAAAGTTTGCTTTTTTTGCGTTACTAATCTGCTAAGGTTCAAGTTTTATTTCCCAATGATATGACATTAGTCACACTATTATTAATGACTAAAAATATTTTGGGTTAGCGATATTCTGCCAATTGAATCAAGAATTGAAGTCAAACCCCTTAACCTTAGAATGACATGAATGTATCTATTAGTTATTCAAGAGACTATAATAAAGAAAAACAACAAACATTCATTATTCATTATGTGACATATTTAACATTTTAAATCTCCATTTTAACGGAAATGAATGTTGATCGATTTGTGACATTGATATTTTTTCTATGTGAATTGGTGAATCATGATCATCATCTGAATGACTAAGTACTTCATTTGACTCATTTGTAAAATTGGATGGTAGTGGTGAACGATAAGTAGACAATGTTGAGGATTCATTTTCTAACATATTTAATATATGAGATATGTTTTGTTCTTTTACATTATCAATAATTCCAAATTTTCTTGTTAACATTTCTAATTTTGCTTTTAATAATTGATTTTCAGTATTTAATTCTAATAATTTTGTTTCTAATACTAAATCATTGACACGACGTTTTTCTCGCGATTTTTTTGCTGACATATTATTTTTTAGACGTTGATTCCAATAATTAGAGTCTTTTTTTTCATTCGATATAAAATTACGTTTTCGCCTTGATCTTACAATAAATTGTAATTGTTCATTGATTGTTTTTGGACTATGTGGACGACTTGTCGACTCACTACTCGATGAACTATGACTTCCATCGGTAGTGCTCAATGACACTGAGGATGTTGAAGATGTATCATGATATGGATTCACTATAAAAGAGTGAGATTCTGTTTCGTTGGATGATGGTGATTGATTGTGATATATATCCGTTGATAGTAAATGTTGAAAAAATTTTGACTGTACAAGATGACCAGTTATGGATTGATCAGTTGACATGTATTTTCAAATAACTGTAAACAGTTTTTGATTAACCTTAGTTTTAGCAAGATTTATATTACTTTACATGATTATATGGACAAACTTAATAGACTTACCACCCACACACTTAGCCAAATTTTATTTTACTTTTTTTCAAAATAAGAATATGCAAAATGAAATTCATTGAAGCAAAAATTTTAATCGTTTTTAATGTCCATTTTAAAACTGAATCTCTCTTATATGTTTTTGGTGCTTTTTCTCCTTCTCTCTGATTTTCTTTGCCTACTATCATTTCATTATCAATAAAATTGCGTTTTTGTGCTCCATCTTAGAGGTAGCAAAGAGAGTGAGAAAGGAGAGACCTTGTCTCGTCTTATTTAGTATATGTCTGGCTTTTTTCTTTTTCTTTTTTGTTCAATACTGTATAAAAAAATAAACGTCCTTTCGACCGAGAAGAGAACGGGTCGCAGTGTTCATGTATATGCCATGATTAATACAATAGATTTAACCAAAGAACATATGTATATATATATATATGTACCGAAATGGATGGATGTACCTTGAGCTTAGAACGAACAAGAAATAAAAAGAACTCCATTCTGTTAGACTATGTATAAAAACGTAGACATTCGTTATATAATTACAATGAAAAACTCTTTAACCCAGTTGTATCTCCATATATCGGTCACTATAGAGAGAGAACAGAAGAATCAGAATAAAAATACGTTAAAAGTTAAGAAATCGAACAATTTAAGTCGTCGTCCTTATACATCATTCAACAAATACTATACTGATTGATTTTAAACATTGTGCATGTCTGGTTTATACTAATGAATAACAATTAACCATAAATATAATAAAAACATTCCTTAATGTAATTATACGCGAGAATTGATTAATTAGATAGAAATAAAATTATAAAAACATGAATAGTTAAAATTGCTCTTAGTTGTGGAGATGGATTTTTAATAAGTGATGTTGACCTTACATGTATGTGAACATACATCTGATGAGAATAATAAACTATGTTCAACTCATCAGTTTTGAATGTAGCTAGAAATTCTTTGATGTGATAAGAACATGAACATTGAAATAGAACCATTGTAACTCTACCTATACATCGAAAATTTGTATTTTCTAATATTCTTTTCAAAGTTCACAGTTGGTGGTGATGTTTGATTCGAAATTCTTTTATATAGTATGTTTAGATACATCTCACAAAGTTTTATCCCAATTATTTCTAGATCTGAATTAAATTTCTCCTATCGAATAATCTCCAAAAACTAGTCATCTGAGGCAATGATGGAACAAAAAATTCAAGAAGCTAGTGTTAAACAAAAATTAGCGACCAGAGATCAAGAAGGTAAATTGATAAAGGTAATCATTGGTTGCTGCAACGAATGAGAGCACGGAGGTTCCTTAAAGAATTCAGCAGTTTACTTTGATGTGGTTTACATTGTTGTCTGTCAAAAAAAAAAGAGTATTTGATATAAAAAAAAGTTACCTTTTCTCGTTTGTGGTAGATAATGATAGTACTTTCACATAAACAAACATGAACTTTGAGATGGAAAAAAAGAAAAACTAAAATTTAAGAATTATTTGAAAAATCATCTTTTACACTAAGAAAAAAAGAGCAATTAAAATGCTAGGAAAGGTACTATGAAAATCAACCATTCGTAAAGCGAAATTTTTGACCTACTAAGAAGTCATAGTTTTGCAGTGTTTTCTTACTATTCTGTTTAAACATAGTCTAGATAATATGCGAAACACGTAAGATAAATGCCTAGTCAGATGATGCCCGAATTAGAGACACTACTGAACATAATGAACTAAGAACAAACTGCTGTTGTAAGAAATTTTGAGGATATTGCACACATTTTTCACAGTGGTTTTCATACGATTTATGTTTTACTTAAAAAAATCATAGTCTTTTTTGTATTTCAGTTCGAAGTTCGAGACGATCCCGAACAGAAAAACAAATGCGACGAAACAATGGAACTGTTATTGGCAGCTGGTTATTTTCGTGTAAGAATAAAAGGTTTATCAGAATTTGACAAGGTAAAGATTTTTTTCAAATCATAATATTAAAAATTAGTTTTCATACTCTTTTCTTTCATTGTTACCAAGTTTTTTTTTTAGATTGTCGGTGGTCTCGCCTGGTGTATTCAAGCATGCAACTTTGCAGTAGACATTGATGTTTTGTATCAAGAAAATTCAATATTGAGACAAAAAATGTAAGTTAAAACAATTATTATATCTAATTGTTGAAAAGTTATTGTTTTCAGTGCATTAACTGAACGTATTGTACTCGTATTATCGCAAATGAAATGTCCATTTAATATTGAACCACATCAGATTCAAGGTCTTGATTTTATTCATATTTATCCGATTGTTCAAGTAAACGATAAACATATGATATAAATTTCATTTGAGCAATTGGAGTACTTTATGTATTTAGTGGCTTGTCAAACGTGTATTCGATCGTCGAGCTGAAGTCGGTGATTTTACTCGTGCCTATGCATTAAATCAATATGAAAAACAATTTCTGGATAAGAATAATATCGTACAAGTAAGAGTATGATTATTAAAAAAGTAGAATTAATTTCGGAATTTTTTTGCCCATTCTACTTCTAGGTAAACGAAAAAAAACCATTGACAGAAAATGTCGAAATGATTCGAGTAAGTATTCCTGATATTGTATTTTTTGTTTTTCATCAACGTGGTGTTCAATTTTAGATGCGTTATAGACCAAAAAGACGTTATCGTTATTTGGAAACAAAAAAGAAGAAATACACTCGTGATGAACGAAAAAGGCGTGTTCATTCAACACTACTCGAATTTGGACAAATGCATCAGCTTCTTTTATCGGATAATTCGACATCATCATCAACAACAAATGAGAATCAACAGGTGCATACACCTATTTTTGTCATGTTATTTCTAACGTATTCTTGTTTAGAACGATACAAAGAGTACAGTTGATGCTATGATGAAAAATATGGCCGGAGAAAAAGTAAATAACTTTTCAATCTTTTGATTATTTTGTATTATTTACTTTTCGATTGTTTTTAGACTAAAATTACCACACAGAAAGTGAATACACTTGTTAGTAAAGAGCAAAATAATTTAATACGTTTATTGGAAGAATATGAAGAGAAAGTATGGATAAGTTTGATTGTAATTCAAACGATTATTTAAAATCGATTTTGTATTTTACAGGAAGCTGCTCTATTGCAAGAAGCAGCAACATCTGAAACAGGACAACAACAATTATTAATACGTACATTAACAAATCAGTTAAATAAACAGAAAGAAAAGATTAATAACTCGAAAACACAATTGAACGAAGCACAAGAAAAGAAACAATTAACTTTCGATGAAGCAAAAGAGGTATGTATTTTCAAAATAATTCACTGATAACTCAAAAATAATTATAATAATGACTTACTATTGAGAGATAGGATCACGATATTTACAGAATATGTTTTGTTTTATGTTAAAAGGCTTTGGTACAGTAATCTTTGTGGGACTTTCTTTTATCTATTGTAGAATAATTGTAAGAAATATTTAAACATTTTATTTAGATCAAACAACAACGTGAACAAATCGAAAGTGAAATTGAGCAATTGGAAAAAGATGCGCAAAATATTGACCCAGAGTATAATTTTATATTTGTCTAATTATAAAATATATCTATATATATTCATTTCATTTTTAAGATCATTGAAACGTGTTCAGATATTAATGGGAGAATATGAAAGTTTAAAAAAGCAAGAAACTGAAAAGAAGAATAAATATAAAGCAGAAAAAGTACAATTGGAACAAGAAATATCAAAATTAGAAGCGCGACTAAAAAGTGATATGAATGATGATCCAGAAAATGAACGAATGAAACAGATTGATGAACAATTTCAACAAATCAATGATCGATTACAAAAACAACGATTATTACTCGTACATTAAACTACTTAACTTGCTCAATAATAAATATTATTTCTAATTTTTATTATAGGCTAAAAAGGTGCGCGATATATCTACAATACAAAGTAATTTCAAATATATTCATTTTTTGTGTTTTTTATATTTAAAAATTAATATGAATTTTCTTTTAGGACGTATTGATGATATACCATCAAGCGCTGAGTTAGCTCAATATCGGCAATCGTTTTTTCAATTATATAATCAAAGTGCAGCATTACATCGTCAAACAAAACAAAACTACACACTTTACAATACATTTACGGACATGATTGATTACATGACCAAGGAAATAACACTTATTGAGTCGATTAATGAGGGTTATCCACAGTAAGTGTGTATAGAAAAGTTTTTTTGTAATAAGATGCTCGTAGGTCAAACTCAGAGTGAAATTTCTTTTTGACTTTATTATACATATTCTGAATCGTCAGGTCGAGCTGATCACGAATATCATCTTTTTAGTTCGAAAAAAAATGAAATCTTGATGGAGAAAAATGCGAAATACTGAGACGAAAAAGCTAAAAACTGTTCTTTTTCAGAAAATGGTTCATAATTTTTTCCCTTTACGTTTTTACTTATTCTCATTAATATTTTCAAATTTTACGTTGAAAAATGATTCTAGAGGTCTCTTTCAATGACGTTTGGTCAAAACTGAAATTTTGGCTGAGCTCAGAACTGGCTAAGCTCAGCGGTCGATACCCTCAGCTTGCAAACCTATCTAGTTTTTTGGGTTAAGGGATAGGTCCCCCATTCACATACTGTTAGATAGCCCAAGTGATAAGCTTTAAAAGTACGGAGAGATTGTTTCGAAAATGTTTTTTCCTTACCGGAAAAAACGCCTTT